TTGGGGATCGAGCCCACAACTTTGGTATGTGGCATTGTGCCCTGTGCCTTGATTGGAAAAACCATGACCTCCTGGTTCATTGGTCGATGCTCAAACTCGGAGCCACACCAGCCAGGCTAGTCTCTTTGTTCTTTAAAAATTTTTCTTTAGCTTTCTTTGCATATTCTTCCATGTGAATTTTAGAAGCAGCATGAAAAGTTTCCTGAATGACATTGGTGGAATTTTTAGTGGAATTGCATGGAAATTACAGATTAATTTGGGGGAGAATTGGCATCTTTACAATATTATCTTCTAATCCATAAAGGTGATATGTGTCTTTTTTACTTTTTACTTATTCAGGTAGTATTTATACCTACCAATGAAGTTTAAAAAAAAAAACACACACACACAAAAAAACTTTACACAGTTCTTTTTAGATTTATCTGTAGTTACTTTTGTAAATGTACCTCCTCTACCCCCAAATACAGTGTCGAATTGGCTATTGCTGATATAAAGGAATGACATTGATCTTTGTATGTTGATTTTGTTTTTAGTAATCATTTTAACTGAAATGTGAATATCTATAATAATAAAAGTGTAATATGCTAATTAGACCGGACAGCCAAATAACTGTCCAGAAGACCTTCCGGACAAAGCTGGGGCTGTGAGGTCTGAGCCCCTTGCATAATTTTGTGCATCGGGCCTCTAGTAGAAAGCATAAATATAGAAAAGTTGCACACATAATAATGATTTTCACAAAATGAACACACTTGTGTAACTATTACCCAGATAAAGAAACACAATATAATTCCAGAAAACCATTTTCTCTCTCTTCCTTTGTGCCAGAAGTAACCAATATCATGACTTCAAACAGGATAAAATAATTTTGGCCATTTTGAACTTTATATAAATGAAATAATTCAGCTTATATTTCTTTGTGTCTGGCTTCTTTTGCCCAAGAAACATGTTGTTGCTGTGTAGTAGTTCATTGCTTGAATATCACTATAGTCATCATTGTGACTAGTTCCAGTTGTGGGCTATTACGAAAAGGGCAGTGCTTATGTTTTTAGCACACATTTTTGGTGCACACATTTACACAATCCTGTTGTATATACATTTAGGAGTAGAATTGCTTGAGTATATAAGCAATTTATATAAGCTACTTGAGTATATTCTGTTAAACACTTTTGAGGACAGGACTCGTTAGTAGGTGCACAGTTGATATTTTAATGAACCCTCAAAACAGTATGACAAATACATTTCTGCAAATAGGTCATTTCACCCTGGAGATTATGAACAAGTGATC